ACACACAGAGAGAGACATACGAATATATGAATACAAAACTAAAACATCCTACCTACTAATACTACAACTGTATTTTGCATATATTTTGTAAGAAGACGGTACTCACGCAGATATTGCAAATAACCGAGAAATCGATAAAAATAACTTCAATCTGTCGAGGTAATGTGAAACCTAGCGAGTTTCGTTTTTGCTTATAATTGCATCAAGAAAAAAAAAAACATAAAATCTAGAAAATAATTGATAAGGACTATGGATTAACTTTATATTGTATGAAATTACAAATGGTCTATTAATCGATGATCCATGGTAATAAACATTATTCAATACGACATATTGTCACGAATCTTTTTTCTGTCGTGTTCATTGCATTTTACAACATAAATGTATTTTTTAGTAGTCATTAAGAGGATAACTCAAGAATTTTAAATATTCAAATGAAGAGAGTGAAAACAAGAGAAAGAGAAAATAAGCACGCAAATTTTGGAATTTTTATCACGTTGAGACATTGTTTCTAATCTTTTTTTTTTTTTTTTCTCTAACCAAGTGGTCCTCGACATTATACATACATATATATATATGTGTGTGTGTGTGTGTGCATTTTAGAAATTTGATTGGTGACAATGTTTCAAATATTTTCTTTTCTTTCTATCGAAATAGCTCTCAACATTTTTGTCAAGGCTACTTGTTTCTTAAATATATATATATATACTAACTAATATTCAAATCATTGACGCATACACACACACACACATGTATACAAGTCTAGAGACTTGTGACGAGACGTACTCGAGTAAGAAGTGTTTGTCTACAATTGAGAATGTGCGTTACGTCAAAATTAGGTAAATTGACGACAATTCTTACATCGATTGCGAGTTAATCCTCGAATTTTGGATCGTTAGTGAAATTAACAAAAAAAACTTAGGCAATGATTATTTTTTAAACAAGAATGATCTCTCTCTCTCTCTCTCTCTCTCTTCCTAAAAAAAAAAGATTATATCGAATCGTAAGAGAGTGAGTGCTTTCGAAAACGGGTGTTCATTTACAAGTCCATACACACACACACACACATACACACATATACAAATTGTGTATCGATCGAAACGATTTCGCGTATCGATAAAACGTACGAAACAGAAATGTGGGTTATAGGTAATATCGTTTGCGAGGGGAATTCGGACATGCTTTCTCAAGATCGTCGAAAGGAAACATTCGGTATATGAGAAGAGAAGAAAAGAAAAAGGAAAGCAACAACAAAAAAATCACACGCAAACACACATGTATACATATATACTACTTATACACACATACACACACATATCGAAGAATATGTGACTCTACTTCTTTGAAAGGAATCGTCTGATAATTTTTATACTTATATGTGGCCACTACCTTGGTAGCGGTAACATCCTTGTAAATTTAGATCTTAAATTTTCACTTTCTGGAACGTGAAAGCTGACTCTTCGACGTCATGTAATTATTGCTCCCTTGGACCCGGCATTTCGTTTCGAAAGCACTTATAGGAGAATTCGGGATACACATCCGGAATTATTATTATTATTATTATTTAAATACCTTACCTTACCTTACTTTACCTTACCTTTTACCTTAGCTTACCTTTTTTCATATTCATTGAGAGAAATCTAACAAATTTGTTTTCAATTTTACGTGCGCTTGTCTATTACATCAAAATTACATTCCTTTTTTTCTTTTATGCAAAGGATATGCGTAAAGTTAAGTACTATTGCATACACATGTAGGTAGATGTGTTGGGCCAGGATTATAACGAGATGTATATGTGTATATGTGTGTGTGTGTGTGTGCGTGCGTGTAAATGTATAGGTGAAGAGCCCATATATCAAGAGTAACAACACCTACTCTCAGTGAAATAATATAAAAGCGTTGTTATACTGGTACTTACTTTTTAATCTCTGTATCCTCCTGTGTGGAATATGCGTATACACGTGTCGCTTAAAAGAAAGTCAATATAACTGGCGATGGTTTCATATCCCTTCTTCTCTTATAGTATCCGTCGATATTGAGTATCTCTCCCCTCCCCGCCCTCCAATGACCGCGAGAATTTCGATCTTTCGGCATCTCTCCACCTATGCCGATCAACCAAAATGCGTTAACTTCTTCGAACGATTCACATTTTTATCACGGATGTCATTTCTAAAACATTCTTTTCTCATTTTTTCTTCTTTTTTTTTTTTGCTGTTACGTCACATCGACATTTTTCAAATATTTATGGAAATGTTTTTTTTCATTATTTTACTCTCTCTCTCTCTCTCTTCATTTTCACCAAGTCTTCTTCTTTTCTTCTTATTGCTTTTTTTGTCTTGTAGGATTATCACATTTTATTGCACAGATTGACTCACAGACTCCCACGATATGACACATTTAGAATTAGAGATAGAAACTTGGAATTACCGTATTCTGTTCTGTCTCGAAAGCAGCCTTTTTACGGGAAAGATCCTCCTTCTATATTTCTACACCCTTTACAAAAGAAAAAAAAAAAAAAGATAGAAATCCTATTTTGAATCGTAGTCAAACAAAGGCGATGCAGAGGCGAAATTACGCGTTGAAGTTACATCTATCTTGAAAGGAGGAGAACACTTTTTAGGATGATTATTTATTTAGATTTTTGTTCTTTTGACAACTCTTTAAAATACTTGCAAATAATTGCGTGGCATTTATCATGAGCCTCGTTAATTATTTTCTTTCTTTTCAATAAAATCTCGCAATTAATTAAAAATAAAATGAAAAGATTACAGTTGTCAGAAAGATGAGAACAACCAAATTAAATTATTCGCGATTGCAGGACGTTATTATACATTATCAATGACCTCGAGAAATTTTTTTTTCTTACCCAATCAAATACATAGAATATTCATCCTGTGAATTATTAATTCATACAAAATTTACATTTAATTTCTCATCGAGTTATGTTTGTTCATTCACGTTGCTTATAATAATCGATTGATCGTCGATCGATTGATCGTCGTCTTACACCTTCAAACGCCTTCGTTTAAATCATAGTTTCATTGCAAATATACAAGGCAAATCACAAACAAACATCATTAAACATTGTTCATATTATTAATTAAAAAAAAAAAAAAAAAAAAAAAAAACAGAGAAAATATTGAGGTTGTCTCCTTCAAGTGGGGCATCCTGTATACCTGGCGTCAGGATTAGGATTAGCCATCTCAAGTGGCAGATTTAATTTTTGGACAGGTGAATAAACCAGGCTTTAATTATAAACTAGTTCCAAGGTCCGTTAAAGCCTAAAGGGGATAGCTGTTATGATTTTTCTTTTCGATTGAATTCAGGGGCCCACTCTCTACTTGGAGGAATATTTCACATTTTCTATCCACAGAAACGAAGAAAGGTTTTTAGATTCATCCTTTCTTTAAAAAAAAAGCTTTCATCAACTCAATCGAAATATCCCTCCCCCCCAAAAAAATTAGTCAAAGTTGCGGAATTACATCGATTACTCGTTCATAAATCTATGTTTATCGTTAAACGAGCAACGTATTTGATATGTAAAAACCATCATTCATGAATTTACTACGATCGTTTATTACGTTTTACGTAAGGAATTTATGTTCGTCCACGAGTATGCTAATGTTACGCGAATACACTCTCACTATGTTGTACACGGATTATTTTTATGTTTTTTTTTTTTGTTTTTTTTTCGAACCATCGTATCTTGTCAATTATTTTGTCTTATTTTGACAATGGTGAATATTTGTCGAATGCATCGTTAACTTTCTTCATAATAAACTGTTCCCATTTAGTTATGATGACATGAAACCTTTGTCAAAAGTTTTTATGTTCTTTTGTTATACTATTCTGTATTTCGTCACGATCCTAAATTATTTTTGTACTTGTGATTTTACGTGACGTTTCAAAAATATATCTCTTTTCGTTTGCAATGTTTCTAATACCACAATGTGTAATGACAATGATGTTTGTCATTATTTTGACTATAAACATCATTAATCTTACACGCGATATAAAAGATTGAAAAGCAGAAGAAGAATACGGAGCAGGGTCAGATTCATTTTGACGTTGTATTTAGAAAGTGAAAGTTCCGTGTCATAGATCATCGCATTTTCAAAGGGCCACCACCATCATCCGTCCTATCTTTTGAATGGCGCCTAATAAATTAAGTTTCGTTATTAGCTGGGATATTCATGTTGAAAATGTTGCGCGTTCAACTAAACTTTCTTCTTTGAAAAATTCATCTTTTAATACATTTTATTATATCGTGAATCATTTGTAAGAGATTACATTTTATTGCGATTTTAAATTAAAGAGAAAATCATTTTTATTATACAGTAATAATGAATAGATTTTTTGGTATTTAAGTGTATTTAACTGTATGTATCTTTTGTTTCATTTTCTTCTTTATTTTTTTTTTTTTCAAATCTGTTTTATCGATATGTAAATGAAAAAGATCTATAAGGATCTATACCGACATTACCGATAGAAATCGATTATAATTCCTACGATATCAAGAGTTGAAATTATATAAAAAAAAAAATACACACACACATCTTCTACATTATCGACAATTTGAATAAACTTTTTTGAAATGACAAATTATTAATTAGACCCAGGAAAATGGATAATAAAGAAATGTTAATAAACATTAGAGATATTTGTTTATCATATTATATAATATTGTTTTAAACACACTCGAGCAAAAAGATCAATTTGGTTGTTTCGTTTATTATGTAAGGACAATTATTTGTATAATTAAATCTAAAGGCAGAGATTTATTTGGAATCCTTTGGGTTTGTTATTTTGTTTAAATGAACAACATGCACACCTTCCTGTTGATCATCATTCGGGAATACATTGAAATTCTTGTCTATAAGCTATTAGAAATTGTCAAATGTAGCCTAATAGTACGGAAATTTTGCAAGGTTTCAATGGCAAACATCGAATTCTTGTAGAGAATTGTCAGAGTCTAATGTGGATTTAATTGGAGTTAATTGTTTTTTTTTTTTTTTCGAACAAACGGATATACGTTAAGTTTTGTTTACAAGATAGATAAGTATATTACAATAGAAAAGTTTTTTTTTCTTTTTTTTTTTTTTTACCAATCTGTACGAATTTAGAATAGCATTAACAATTATTTATATATCTTTGAATAAGCGTAAGAAAAATGTTACAAATGTTGTAATAAAAAATAAAGACAGACAAATGCAATTATCTGGATCGGTCAGCAAAAGAAGGAAAAAATAGTAAAAATATTGAAATACCCTGCATATTTAAATATATCGTATATAGAACTCTCTTCTTATTCTTATAAACTTATTTAACTTTGTTCAACATATTAGCGATATATTTATTGATATTTCATGTATCATCGCATTATTTCACAAATCGTTTATTATAAATTATGCCACAGTGTTTCTAATTGATTCCACTGTAAGAAAATATTTTGAACCTTTTTTTTTCTTCTTCTTTAGAACAAAATTAATAATAGAAACAAAATGAAGTTAAATTGACAAATGCAATATAATATGAAATTTGTTCGTATGAAAGCTATAGTAAAATTGAAGTCTTTTTTTTTTTTTTTTAGAATTTTGTCGAAATCAATTAGAAACAACAAGTGTGAATATTACGTAGATCATGGCGTAGATCATGGCGTAGATCATGACGTAGATCGATAGAACTATTATTTATGTCGATAATATAATAAACATTGTTTATAATCTATTAATAGATCGTATTTGTTAAAATCTGTAATTAAATAATAAGGTACAGGATAATCACACGAGGCGTTAGTTTCGTTTCAACTAACGCTTCATTCATTTGGTCGAGACTACCAAGGTACTATACAATATATATATATTTATTAATATTTATTAATATTGCAAATTTTCAATGTGAGACATCCAACGTGATATTTCAATTAATAATCATCAATTTACGTTAATACGAATCTTCATTGGAAATATTCTCTAATGATGTGTAGTCTCACATTTAATGATAATTTCTTCGTTAAGATGTCTCTTCACCTTTTTTTTTGGTTTGTCTTTTTTTTTTTTTTTATCCTTTGGATAAAATCATATGCCCGCTAATTGGTTCATAATATTGGATAAAATCACTTATCAATTAGATGAAAGATAAATATCCTTTTAAAATCCGTTTAAGTATAATCACGGAGAATTTCTTTGAAAGATTTCATTTCATTTCATTTCTTTTTTTTAGCGAGCATAACTAACTTTTAAAAAGGCCCCCAGGAAAAATGTTCCATCGAAAAAATTCTAATTTCCGTTTACTCAATCGTTTTGTTTGTGTACGTGTGCAGGTGTGTTGTGTGTGTGTGTGTGTGTGGGTGTGTGTGTGTGGTTTGACCATCATTTATTACTAATTGTAACATTATCTTCGGCGAAATCTCAGCGCTTTGATATTTACGTACTTCCACTCTTGACGTATTTTTCATTTTACAAATATCAAAATCCTTTTCGCATTGTTTCTTCTTTTTCTGTTAATTATTTTCTTACGGTTTTATGCATTGGAACAGTCATTTCAAATCTTTCAATGGAAAAGTACAAAAATTGCAAGTTATTTAAATCGATGTGCACAAATCTAAATAATAATTTATCTGAAACTTGATAAATGAATATCAATCAATTGTAATATAATTAAGAAATAAATTAAAGTTCAAAGAAATCGATTGGATCTATCGTAAATTGCCATTGGTAATCGTGAATCGTGGAAGTTACGTTTAAGGATTTAAATGTAGTTAGTTGTTCCTATATCGTACTAAAATTACAAGTATATGAAACACGCTACTTGAACGTGTCCGTTTAAAGCTTCGATAATGTCAATTATCGTAACTAATCTGACACGTGGCACGGTTTGAAAGACTGGGTAGGTAGGGTTAGATACATACATATTTACAAACGCTCTTTGACAATGCATTTTCACTGAATGTTGTGTGTTCAAAAGACGTTGCTTGCTGTTTCTTGGAAACCTTTGAAAATCATCATGAGTCATTTAAAAGCCTTTAAAACGATCCTGTTTATACTTCACCCTGGTTTCTCGAAATGGTTTCTCGAAATATACATTTATGTCTTTTTGTTCTTTCTCTTTTCCTTCTAAGCTCTTAATTTTCTAATTATTTTATTATTTTATATATTTTTCATGCATGTCAGTAATTAAGTGAAAAATTACGATTGCTTATTTTTTTTTTATATTGTAAGAAAGGGATCAAAGATTTGAATAAGAATTGAAAAGATTTGTCGTCTTCCACAAATAGAACTCATGAAACTGTTTGTTCGATCGTTAGAGTAAATAAAGAAAAAAAAAAAAAGCTTTTGATAAATTAATAGAGAATATAAGAAAGTAGGTTGAAACTCTCACAAGACTGTATCAAGAGTATCGAGACTTCGTAATAATTGCTCGTCTTTAGAACACCATTGCACCAATTCCTCGATAGTCACCACGCCATCCTTATTCGCGTCCATTAGCTAAAAGATAATAAATAGTATATATATGTTGAGTTTCAAACGTAGATATTAATTACGTAACTCACGTGAAATATACGATCGACGTGTTCACGTGCTGCCAAATGTGGCTCGACTATTTGTGGCTGAGTATAACGACCCAACATCTCGTAAATCGATCCAACGACATCCAACATTTCTTCCTTGCGTATCAATCCGTCACCGTCCAAGTCGTATAATCCAAAAACCCATTGTAATTTTTCCTCCACCGATCCTCGAGATACTTTGGATAATATTGTCAAAAATTCCTACGCATAAATCAATAAAATCACATCATTGATCATCTCACTTTTTTCAATTGCAATCTCTCTTTCTCTCTCTATTAATCAGCTTACCTCAAAACTTATTTTACCAGAGTGTTTCCTCTTCATGGTGTTGAACACGTAATGAGCGTATTGGCTAGCATCTATGATCATTAAAAAATAATTCATTACAAATATATCATCATCATTATTTAATTGTTTAGATTGAAATGCTTACCTCCCTGTGGAAAAAATTGCGAGAAGATTTGTTTGAAAGCTTCCTCGTCGACCAAACCAGTAGGACACTCTTGTTTGAATCCCCGATAAATCAATTGTATTTCCTTTCTCGAAAATCTCGTGTTGGCTGCCAAGGTGGCCAATTCCTCAGGCTTGTGGCGTCCGCCCAAGGCTAAGGTGCCACCTCCAGAACCCCCTAAAACGCCCCCGAGTTCTTCAAGTTCTCCCTCTGTAACGTTGCCAAGGGGGGCTTCACTCTTAATACTGCACCACGTGTAAGGGCTGCTCCGATTCTAAGATACCTTCTTGGATTTTTTCTTTTTTTTTTTTTGTTATTACTTAGGAGCAAACAGGATGGATTCTTCCTCCTCTCATAATTTTTTTTTTTTTTACTTTACTACCAGGCAAGAAGAAATAAAAAAAAGAGAAAGAGAGAGAGAGAGAGAGAGAGAGAGAGAGGAGGAAGCAATTTTTCTACTTACAAAAACGTGTGATTTTTTACGGTGCAACGAGCAGATTTTGTTTTGACTGGTTGCAGTGTATGCACCGTCTGCCAATTACAAATGCTTCCAAGGAATTCTACTAAAGACACAGTGTGAAGTATCAAAAGAGCATCTACTTGAATATTCGGAGAGAGATGTAACAACGGGTGCAACGTATTTACAGAACGAGTCCGTATCGAGTGCATATTTCCACTCCCCCTTACCAACCCCTTATTCATACATATATCTATCTAATATCAAAACCACATTCTAAATTACATTCTTATTTTATAACGCATTTACGCTTTCTTTTCTTTAATCTCTTTCCTAATGACGTTATAGAAAAATTATATAATTGAATATTATTGAAATGATATTATTAACAATGAAATTATGCACGAAATCATTATGAGAGATGAAAGAAAAGAAACATTACGACTAATTCTTACATACGAAAGTGTCGCTGCTAATTTCTATGGATTAATTTCTTTTCTAATAACGTTCCCTACTCATTTAAGGGGGGATACTAATTTTAATTTAAATTCGTCTCGTCGAGTAAAACTTGTTACAAATCTTGATTACAGGAAAATATTGATAAGCAATGTAATTCTAATTTTGATCAAATATTACAAGTCTTATTCGACGTAACGAAATCAGAACAAAGCAATGACGAGAATATTTACATTTGTTCAACGTTGTTAATTAAAGGTACGATCGAATCTAACAAGGATTTTGTATGATCATAAACATCACTGTAGCTACGAAAAATCAATCTACTGACAAAACACTATTATCTAAATTGTCACCTTTCTAAAAAAGGTTTAATTAAGGATAGAGAGAAAGAGAAAGAGATAGAGATAGAAAGAAATAAAAATACGGAAAATAATTACAGTTCATATTTGATCACTACCCTTTAACTCATATGTCCTATACAACGCAATTCGGCACTTTCTACGCTCGCATACTTTCTTTTTACATGCATGTGTGTAACATCAATCAATTGTCTATGTCGACATGCCTTTTCAACTTGTCTTAGATGACGCTTTTAAGACTAACTCTACCAAACGACCGAACGAAACACGCTCAATCGATCTTCCTCGAAGGTCAAATTCAATAAAAATGACTCTTACAAAGCTAATCGATTTTATATCCAACGTGTATGTGTATGTAAATTAAACGATACGAGACGAGATAGGAGCTTCCCTGATTTAATATCTTCACTTATTTTTATATATATATATATATATATATGGGGTGATTTAAATAAGAAAAAAAAGAGGCAAATGATCATTGTCGTAGGATCAGACAAATTAAAGAGGCTGTTGATCTGAAATTCCATGGGGGATGGATTATCGTGAAAAGTAAAAAAAATGAGGAAATATTAGAGTCATGATTACGGAATATAAAAACAAGTAGGATATTTTAAGAAATATCGAAGGTCTGCCGTCAGACGGTAATCGCATTAGGGTGGTTCATTCGTTTGGATTTTCCTCTTTACAAAGAATTAATCAATGAAAAAATCTACACGTGTGTGCTCTAAAATGAGAAGGAAAGAGAGAGAGAGAGATAGAGAGAGAGAGAAAGCGAAAGTGAGATAGAGCTCCTAATCCCGGGCATCCGGGGTTACCATGACGACGACGACGACGATGACGACGACGACAGGTCAGCTCCTATCCCGTGGACTTTGTGTGTCCCATATTTCATCCCATTTTGTTGATCTTTATGGGTATTAGCTGATAATTAAAAGAAGAATATTCATTGTCTATGAATATAAATGAGATGTTGATTTAAAATAAAGTTGGTCGCGTGGTGTCGTTCGATTCGGCATATCAATTCTACAAAACTACCCTTCTTTTTTCCTCCCATCTTATTTAATGTTTCTACTAGTCAAAAAGGGGTGGTGTATTTGTCTATCTAATTATCTAACAATTCCTAAGTGATTTCAACGAAAGAGGGTAGTAAGAAGAAGATTGGGATGTAGAGATAGAAAATTGGATATTATTGGTTGTCAAAGAACTTGCATTATTTTGTGCGTACAAGATTATGGGTGTATCAAAGATAATCAGAAGTATAGAGAGAGGGAGAGAGAGAGAGAGTCGATATAGGGAAAGATAAGGGAAAAGTAGTAGAAGAAGAAAAAAAAAGAATAAGAAAAAGAAGGTCTAAGGTGAGATCTTTTTGTGTCGAAGGAATCTCGAACCTTGGCGCTGCATCTCCATCGACTCTTGGCGCTGTCGCACCTCGGCGAATTACGTGCAGCAGCTAATAAGAGCGAACGAGATGAATAAGAAATAAAGGGTGGAAAAATAGGAGCAGAGAGAGAGAGAGCGAGAGAAGAGAGAGAATAAGAAATATTTGATGAGAAATAGGAAAATGAAGGAAGTAATAAGGAAAATGCGATATCGTGAAAACGAATGTTCGTTTTGTTCGTTGTTCGCGGTATAAGAAATCCTCACTCCGCGGCTTCTCAAGGATGATGATCGAAGAAGAAACACATCGTCGAATGTCCTAGCTGCGATCGCACCACGCTGATAACGCGTTGCCACGGATTACGGGCGATCTTGGCCCTGAGATTGGTCAACTTACGTTTTTCGCGACTCTTACGTGCCTTCATTGGCCGTATCCGGTAGAACGTATAAGGAGATCGGTGTACCGATTTCTCACCGATGAAAGAAAGAAAGAAAATTAGATGCAACAATTGAAGTAGTTAGAAAAATGACAAATGGAGATAACAAAGTCTCCTTCTTTCTCTCCTTCCCAAATAATCGATTATTTGATTATGTTTTATTCTATTCTTGTACTCCTATATTGTTTGTCTTTCTTTCTTTCTTTCTTTCTTTCTTTCTTTCTTTCTTTCTTGTTTTTCTCCTTTTCTTCGTAAACAGGATCGAGGATTGAATTGTTCGCGAATCGTTCGTCGTGGCCAACCCTTCTCACTTGTCTCGTATGAGCACACGAGAACGATGCAACACGTCCGCCCTATCTTCCTCCACTGATGACTTTTCTCTCTCTCGGTTTGTTCGACGCACGGATACTGGAAAGCGCACTTCTACCTTGCGCGCAAGTCACTTTCTGTCTTTCTTTAGCATCTCGTTCAAACATAACTAACTACAGTCTAGGCCAACATATATTTTCTCCATAAATTTTCTCTCGAAACTTAGTTTTTTGAAGCGTTCACTTTTAACACGTGTCATCTGTACACATGATTTTTTATTTTTATTTCATATAAAATACTAAATATTCTTCTAAAAATATGTATAAATTAATTACAATATGAGAGTTCAATTTTTATCATTATTTATCAAAATATTTGATTCGCAAACATTTTTTAAAGTGTTTTATTATTAATGCGCGCCTGTTAGAATGCAACCCTCCAGACAGACTTTGAAAATGGTACTTGCGAGCGCCATCTACTGGGACGAAATTTTTTTCTGCCCGAAAGATAGGCAACCCGTCATACATGCGTGTATAAACAGTTTTGACAGCAAAAAATTATCGTCCCAGTAGATGACGCTCGCAAGCAACATTTTCAAAGTGTGTCTGGAGGGTTGCATACGAACAGGCGCGCATTTTTATAATTAAATTAATAATTAAATAAATTATCCTCGAAACTTGTTTATTTGAAGGTTTCACTTCTAACTTGTGCACACATGTTTTTTTTTATTGACATATCGGAATTTCCCATTTTCTTCTTTGTTATTATCGAATTTGTTCGAATAAATTAATTTGTTTATTAGCAATATTTCTTACAAATATGATATTATAATGTTTTTAAATATTCTCTCAATTGCTTCAATAAAATTAACTAAACTGCAATAAACAGAAAAATGTATTGGAAATAGTTGTTTATCACTTCTACCACGGAAGAAATCGGTCAAAGATACGACACGTGAGACAAATATTTGTATTTAATTTCATCTAATAATAAGATAGGAAATCGAACAATTTCGTTAGAATAGATGAGCGCTTTCCGGTGGCAGACGATAATCTTAGTAAACTAAGTAAATATGTACCTGTTACATCCGTAATAAACGCGTAGAAAAGATCGCGCGGTTAGATGGCCAAAATCTCTCGAGTCCCGGTATTTGAAAATGAACGGCAACGATATCTCCAAATTGTCATACAAGGAATTGCAAGCATTGGCTCTTAAATATCGGGTGCCTGGCAACATAAAGGTAATAAGTTTCATTTTGACAAATCTCATTAGTTTCATCTTAAAATTCGATTAATTGCTAAAATAATTGAAAAGATCTTTTTAATTAAATTGGACACGTTTTATCTGAGACGTTAGAAATTAAGATCGAGCGTGATCTATGTGATATTTTATCGTTCAACGATTTATCTTCTTTTCCTTCCTTCCTTTACTTCATTTCATATTAAATCGAAAGAAATTCAAAACGATCAAACGATCGTTTATTCACAGAAAGAGCTGCTTGTTAAAATATTAAGGGCAGCAAGAGGTAGAAACAATGGCGAAGTCGACAGATTGTTAAGCGAATTAAAACAGACGCGGAAGAAAAGAACAAGAAAAATAAAAACCGAAAAACTTGGTCTAACTTCCACACCTATACAGAGTCCTGATAACGTCATGGCCGAAGATTATTATCATTCTCAGCAACAGCAACAGCAACAACAACAGCAACAACAGCAACAACAGCAACAACAGCAACAACGATCCCCTTATCAATGGGTAAGATTTCATTTCTCTTCTACATTTCCTTTTTCTTCTTCTTTTTTTCTTTTCTCTCTCTTTCTCTCTCTCTCTCTCTCTCTCTCTCTCTCTCTCTCTCTCTCTGTCTTACTTTTCATTCTTCCTAACGTTTCTTTTCTTAATTAAGCTCGCGTCACGATCTAACTTTCAATACTTTACATGATTGATCGAATTTGGTCGTGATCCTAGTACAATTGTCACTTTTATCGATCAAGTCTTAAAATCAAGAATATCCCGCCGTTCGAGAAACGATCGTCGTTTATTTCATTAGAAATTCAATGTAAACATTTAAAATTATGCAAAACAAATGATTTCTTATTGTAAATATATATAATATTTTTTTTTTATGTATATTTATACTTGTATATTATTTGTTTTATAATATTTTATATTATTTTCTTGATTATTAGGTTGGTGCAGAAGAAGAAATTGTAAGCAAAGAAGATGACAAACATTATGAAGAATTTAGGCAATTTCTATTAAGGAAAATACAGAGAGAATTTCAAACATACAATGCACCTCATAATCCAACACACGAATCAGCAATAGTTGATTTAAGAACTACACCAAGTAGTTCTGCTGGACACATTTTTCCTAATTGTTCTAAGCCTAATTTAATAGGCATTAATGAACCTAATTCTTGCATATATCCTTTCACTAATCATATACAATATCATCATCTGCAAAAGGAATCAAACAAGAGTACGTGTGGATCTATACTTTTGAAAAAAATGTTACAAGCACCAGTTGGTACAAATTTAGGAGAACTTGCAGCACCAGTATTTGGAGATTATAGAGTTTGGCCAGTCGAACAATATCATTCTGAAAATATATTAGATGATTCAGACACATTAACTGCGGAATCAGTGGACAATGACAACGAAGATAATCCTGTAATAAATACAGATTGTTATGGAGTTTTAAATAATGTTAAGGATGAATATCTTTTACACGATACTAATTTTGTTAAAAATGTACAAGATATTGATCAAATGTCTAATGTACTGAACGATCAAACAGGTAGTCAATATCATTGCAACTACGCAAACAATGATTTAAAACAAAATTATCAAACGTGGACTATTACAAATGTTATGGATTCTATGGACGATAGTTATATAGATACGGATATAAGTACTTCTAAAGTACTTCATGCTATTTACCTTGATAATCCGGTAACAAATGCAAATAATGGAAATACAAATTATCGATATCACATTAGCGAAAACGTTTATAATGATAATCCATCGGTACTTAATATTAATCCATCCGAAGATCCTTTGTATTATTCATCGTCTATAATGTCCAATGTACAATCTACTTCTGCGGATCAAACATACTTGGACAATCATAATAAATATATGGGAGAAACGAGAGAATATTTTGAAATGACTGGTTCCGCAAATAGTATCAATTTTTCAACCGACGTACCTCCGCTTAGTCAAACATTACCTAACAATATTCCATACAATTCAGAAGTTACATATCAGTATTCTAATTTACATGACAATCATCAACCATATACCACAATGTCTCAAAGTTTTGAATCACGACAATCGAATGATCTTATAATATCGCAAGATATAAATGCGTGTAAGGATCCTGTAACGGAGAGAGTACAACCATGCTCTGATGGTAGGTATGCATTATTTATTCAATCTTAAATCATTCTATTTCAACATCTGATAGATCTATTAATATATATATATATATATGTCATTTTTTTTGTACATGTTTCAGGAATGTTAGATCCATTTCGACCTAAATGGTCGCACAAAAAGTTATCGGAAAATAATCTCGAAAATATATTGAATTTTAATATATCCAAAAGGATAGATTACACAAAACTAGATCAAACATCTTGTATATATTGTTATACTGCGCCAATAGTTACACACAAAGCTTTACTTCCCACCGATGTTTGTTCGCAACAGATAAAATTAGTAGCAGAACAAAGACATCATTCATTTTCCCCTTACTGGCTTTTATACAACGATAGTTCGGCCGGTATGCGCATGGCCAATGTACAAAGTAACACAGATGATTATAATGGAGAACAAGTATGGATGATTCGTACAGCATCTATATCCAATAACTATAATTCGATTATAAAAGAATCTATAGACGAAAGTGAAGATTCGATAAATGATGTTTGGATGAATGACTATTCTAAATATCGGATGCCTTTACAAAAGGATGTAAACAGTTGCGAAGTTATAAACAACGCCGAAGTTTCAGAAAGTTTATTCTCTAGCATACACGGTGAATCTAATTTAAAAAACGACACTATTTCTACGTGTCAAATGCAAGAGGATATAACATACTGAATTATTTATATACATATGTATATGTAGAAATATGTGTGCCACCCAGTGGTACATTCAATTGTGATTATTATTAACCAACGAAAATAGAATTTTTCACACTTAAGGATCGATTTCTCTTATACAGTTGAGAGTCATCGATCGCGACCATATTATCTCATTAAAATTAAATCTATGGCTATTGCTGTTTTATAATAAAATTATTCAAAATATGTATTTTTTAAAATGTCAAAATTCAATGTACTATCTACATTGAAATACTGATACAAAAATCGAAGAAACAAGAAGACTGAGATAATGTGATATACTTTGAATATATCATAATTTAGGAACGAATTTAAATTTAAATTTAATATTAAATTACAATAAATATACGTATATATATATATAATATATATGCAATTATTGAAATAAAAAAAAAAAACGAAGAAGAAGAAGGGAAATTATAAAAAGATATAAAAGAAATATATACGCGCGTTAAGCGTTGTGATAATTAATTTATATCGTCAAGATAAATAATATTTAGTTCTCATAATTACAGATAACAATTTTTAATTGTTAAATAAAAATATACATGTCGTACAAATCCGTATTGTGTGATATTAATATTAATTACACTTTTCTAAATGATTTATACATACATAAACATAAAACCAATGAGTACCTGCGAAGATACCCACAATTTATTAACCATTGTATTACGTTATACTTTTTTGTAAAAATAAAATCAGTTATATCTATACATTAGAAATGATTACAATTTTTATTTGAATTTGTACAAACATATAATGTTTGTTTATTTATTTAAAAAAAAAAAAAGGAGAAGACTTTAAATCAATTTACGACTCACCCGAAACACCTTCCGCTTGAAACTGGGACCGGATATAATTTAAAACTCTAACTGGTACAGATTCTCTTCTTCTACTTTTGTACAATTCGGTTTCTTTACTTCTCGATGTACTCTGTTTCTCGGAAGATCTTCCTGGAGTCACAGTGACACTGTACATTGTTTCTTCATTAAATAATCAATCTATTTGTTGATTTATTTAATTACAATACAATGATTCAACGACAATTCATATTTTTAGGCGCGAATTTTGGATCGATACGTTTTTGTTTGTTCAAGTTAAAATTGATAAATAATATGTAAAAAATACAAGTTTGTACAAATGTTAAATTTGATCAAAGACGTTAAAAAGGCGCACTCACTGGAATAAGGTCTCAGTCTCAACTGCGTTATGAAAAAAAGCAACGCTTGGATATATATATACATATATAAGCAAAAGAGCCCTGGCGCATTCGCGCTTTGAATTTAACGAGGTCCTCAAAACGCGCAGCCTAATTATTTCACTCACGTTTACCTGCAATTTCTTCCTACACATGCATATAAACATAAATATAACACATACATTTTATACAGATATGTGTATGATCTTCGATACTTGTTAAAACCTAAATAGATGGATATTTTACTTTTAAATTTACATCACTCCAACTATGTTTTGAATTTTGGCGCTTAACGCGACCCTATTAACATCCTATTTTATCACTAATTATTTTACTTTTTTTTTATCATTAAAATATTTTTTTTTATTACATATTATTATCATTTGTTTAATTTTAAAATATGTAATAAAATGTAATCCTATAATGGTGCAATATAAACTTTATATAATAAATATATTTTATGTACATATACATATATAAAGAATTAAAAAAAAAAAGAGAATATAATTTAATTGTTGTGTAGACTTTACATTTCAAATTAAACTTTTTGCAAATCAAATTCACTTGATTTGTAATAAAAATGTCAAAAATAATCAATTGAATAATTAAATATTTAATTTATTATAGATATAATCGTTGTATATGTATATTAGTATATAAAACATATATTTATGTATATGTACATAAATATATGTATCTTACTTGTAACCAAACGTTACTTCATGGTTTAGGTAGGTAACAGTATAGGTTAGATAGGTCTTTAACTTATTCCTAACCTCAAATATGCGCACTGGAGATTCAGACCTGTCTTTAACAATTTACATTTAATAAGTGAAATATTTATTACTGATAAACTAAGGTATTTATGTAATTAATTATTATATTAAATTTAATTGTATACTTTAAAGATTTCTTGTTATTTAATAAAACTATATCTATTTAATACACAGATAATTTATACACAAATATGTTGAGAGTAAAACAAATAAGCGGTGTTTGTTCTTTAACATTGGGCAATCTTATAAAGAGTGAACATTTTGTACCAAATGTAATTTACATGCAATGCATTAGATGGAAAAGGAAACCTATTTGGTTACCCACTGCAAAGACCAAGATGTTCAGAGTACCTCAAAGACCACAGATACCTACGGATGAATATTTAGAACTTAAAAGATTATTTAATAATTACAGAACATCTATGAAATCGCTTATGTAAGTTAATATATTTTTTTACAAGAAAATTAATATAATAAAGATAATGGTTTTTTATACATTTGTTTGTAGGAATCATTTTGAAAATGAATTTTTGAAAAATCAAGAACAATTTGATGAAACAGTTATAAATAAACAAGCGGAAGATGATTTTATAAAGTGTAATTTAATAAATGATGAATGGAACAAGAAAGTAGCCAAAGTAAGAGAAGTTAGATTGCCAAAAGTAAAGAAAGCAAACAAAGAACTTGTATTGAAAAGATTAATAAAAAAAGAGGAAAGAGATTTATCGAAGATGCAAAAAATAGAGGAGCATGTTAAAAAGCTTAAAGAAGAAGTAAAAACTTTCATAACTGCTGAAAATATAGATGAAGCGATCGAGGAAGCATTAACTAACATTGTCAGTCATGACTATGCTATAGATTTAAAGGGAAACATTTATAAAGGAAAATACACCAATGGTCAAGAAACAAATGTATAAAATAATAAAGCTATTAGCTTATATAAATAAAAATCAACATAAAAATGAGTTCTTTTAGAATTAATTTCTTTGCTTTTTATCTTCGTGTCTATTAATATTTACAAATGAATATATTTTGTTGTAATGTTAATTATTATGTTTCATTTTAATATTGGTTTTTAAAATATACATGATAGATCAAACAAATTGTTCATCATTTTTGGAATATGTTTATTTAAAATGATCATGATATATATATATATATATATATATATATATATATATATATATCATAACAAAAAAAATCTCTTATAAACATATTCACTCAAATTCTATGAACTTATGTACCTTCCGACAGATTATAATATCACTTGCTATACTCTTTGCATTAACTATACATCTTTTTTATATTTGCATTGAATAAAATCGTAGTATAAAAACATTGATTAAAATGTAATTCTGTCTGCACTGTTAATTGTGAAAAAGTAACGACGAAAAAAATTATGTATATATATATACTATCTTTTTTACTTGGTTTTATTATATAATAGCATATACTGTAGTTTATGTTATTAGAATATCTTTGGCGTAGAAACAAATGATGTTGTGTTCTATGACATTTTATTATTTTAATAAAAAAAAAGAAAACTTTTGTTCCTATATTGAAAAATATTTGAAGGATTACTTCTAAATATATATATAAAAAAAATATTTACAGGAAAAACTCACATTAAAAAAAAAAAAGTGAATTATATTAATATACTTTTATACTTCTTAATATACTATAATTCTACTGCTTGAAAATCAGAATAGATAATAATCTACTGTTTCATCTTAGAATCATCGATTAACATAATTTCAAACTGCAAAATATTAAAGATTACGTTTAATAAATTGATTCCGTATAATCACATGACTTTTCTCGATTTAAAAAAATGAAGAAAATAGTCATATCAAAGAACCTATAGTATATTATATCTCGCATAAGCTTTTGCATTTAAAAATGCTACATATTTATATATATATATATATGTTTCGCATATAAACAAATTTGTTTATATGATATTAATATCGTAAAATATGTGGTATATATAAATACCAGTCTGTTTCATATATCTTACCACTATTAATTAAATTCATTCATAATGTATAATTGTAAATTTCTATGGTATAATTTACTTTATATCTATCAACTACAATACGTCTGACATAAGAAAGAAAATGGGCTGTTATTATTGCACTTTGATACCAGTTTCACTAATGTTTATTGAAACTTGGATTCAAAGAGAGGTGTAATATTTTCTTCAAGAAATTATGATCGTCATTGAAAATATTTGTTCGTTAAATTATTCTCAAAAAATTATTAGAGTTAATAATAGACAAATGTTAATTAAGCCGTATACGTGATTGACATCTTGGTATATAAATATTTATGTTGTTTGCAAAAATCTTATTAGACTTCAATTCTTATCGGTATCTTCTAATTTGATGCGTGTTACTTAAAGCTTAATTGAAGTACTATTATTTTATTTTATTTTATTTTATTTTATTTTACTTTACTTTATTTCTGTTCAAGTTCAATGGATTTTTCTTGAAAAATATAGAATTTGTAGAAAATTCTAAATCTTATTTATTTATCTTTGTTCTTTTGTTATTTTTTTTTTTTTTTTCGTGTATAATATGTATGAAAATGATGGCACATGTATTCTTAATACGAAATTGGCAATAGATATATATTTAAAAAATCTGCTGAATTTACGTTCACGATATATAATATCCCTCTTGGTCAAATAATAAAACAAACGCTTCCGTTTATTATTTAGCAATGATTTAGATTTCCTTCTTTCTTTTCTTTTCTTTCCTTTTTTTTTTTTTTATTAAATTTTAACTTAATTGGTAACATTATCTGCCATTAATTCATTTCTTTAACAATATATATGTTCTTTTTTTTCTTCTTTTTTTAAATTATTTGTAATTCATCCATTTCACAAATCACATTTTCTTAGTGATATTAGTAATTTCACTTTTAAAATACAACGCTATATATATATATATTTAATAAAAAGGATTATATATTTTGCACTTATACGCAAAAAAGAAGCAATATATAATAACTTCATGCTTACTTTGGCGAACGGATAGCTCATTTCGGCTATCGACATTAATGTCCATTCAATCAACGATATCTTCATTATTATTTAATAAAGAAATACAGACAGGATGTCCTGTAATTAATGGTACAAGCGAGTAGAAATGATTGTACATAAAAAACTAAGTTTATTTTTGAGCAATAATAAGCCTTACTCTATATTTTTGACTCAGTTTATCTACACAAAATCACCCCTTGTTCGCTTGTACTACCACTGGTTACAGGACATCCTATATACATATATATATATAAAATTAAACAGTCAAATAATCTCTACTGATTTATGACAACAACAAAAAAAAGAATGACAGAGCTTAGCGTATCTTTATAAAGCAAAAAGTTGAGAAAATGATAAAAACAAGCAATAAACTCTTTTGAAATAAATCAGAATAAGTAAATATATGTAATATATATATATATATATATATTGGTATAAAATTTGGTCAACTTCATTCTATTTGACAATACTACCATGTGTATTAAAATATTTTGTACGAATATATATTATATGTAATAATAATAATAATAATAATAATAAGAATAATGGCTGATAAATGTGGTATGTATAATTACATAACTACACTATTTTATGACAGCAGTAAATATCGATGCTCGTTTTAAATTGATTAAATGTACTCTAATACAATAATGATAATTCAATTTGCTCGAAATCAAAGACGATTTTACATTTACAGACCTTTTCAGTCATTTCTACAGTTATTCAACATTCATATGTAGATCTTATAATTTATCTCACGATAATGCACATATAACTAAATAAAAATTAATAATAATAATAATAATAAAAATAATAATAATAGTAATAGTAGTATTGGTGGTGCTGGTGGAAGTATTAATAACATTATTAATAGTAATAATAATAATAATGATAGTACTAACAAGAACGATAATAATAACAATGATAATAATAATTAATAAATCTTTTCAATTCTTAAAGCATAATTCTTGACGAAATGAGCATTATTAATATTATAAAAACACTGTTACGCTAATTATTACAATGTAAATATTAATAATTATAATTTTTTTTGGTTTTATACTATAAAAAAAAAAGGATGATTTTATAGAGGGATTATTCTAATGGCACAATACCAAATTAGTGCAAAATATTATTAATGATTTTAAAATAGCTTCCAGGTAACATGTAATAACTTAATAAGAGCTCGTCTATATAATATGCTTATTATCATCGTATTTATTACTGACAATTCAGTCATATGTGAATTAATCAAATATATGTCACATATTTAAGTTAGATTTTTAGTATTGATATTATCTATTTATAGTGTATAATAGTTTGTACGATCGATGATTATTATATCAATTCTATGTCTCAAGGCTATCATCAGACAGGATTTTGTACGGTAGTGCACCTCTAGAATAAATCTCTGTATTATGCACTCAAATATCCTCATTTCTTTCTTCTTTCTTCTTCTTTCTTCTTCCTCTTCTTCCTCTTCTTCCTTCTCTTCTTCTTCTTCTTCTTCTTCTTCATCTTCTTCCAAATGATATATTACAAATGTTAAGTTCATTGTATTTAGCAGATTACGTATTTCAAACTATATTAAAAGATAAATCTCATATATTGATATGAATATTATCATCAACGATGATGATCTCAATAAAATGAGATTATGACTATTTCTTTTGAAAATGTATTTTTTTACATGTTTTCTTTTCTTTTCATTTCATTTTATTATACTCAATGCATTTTATTCAAGTTGAAATAGCTGCCTTCTTTTTTTTTTTTAAATAATTTCAGCTTTATATAATAAGAGAGACCAAATGTCTACTAAAATACATTTTTATTTTTATTCTTTTTCTTTTTATTTTCTTTTGCAGATGCATTTCGTCAGAGTAAAATATAACTTTTTGATTCAAAAATAATAATGTCACTTTTTGTTTAAGTTTTGTACATTGATTGAAATAGTACAAGGCCGTGGCACACATTTTATTTCTATAATTTAATAACATATATAGGGTGAGTCAGTTAAGTTTATAAATTACAATACAATTTTAATGTAGAAATTATTCATTCGAGTGGTCGATCTTAGCTGACTCGCTCTGTATATACTGTAAACCATTGAGACGAATTTTAATTGGTATTTTAAACTCAATTTTTTTCTGTTCTGTTTCGTTTTTCTTCTTTCTTTTTTTTTTTTCTCCAACACTTGTTTCAATGAAATTTAATTATTTCAATTTAAAATCTTAAGAATGTGTTGCATATTAAAAAGTCCCTCTACATACATAATGTATATTTTGCACATCATCACATCTCTAACATTGTGACCTTTGTTCTTCTTTTCTTTTCGTATATTATCAAAATGTATGTAAAATTATTCAATACCACGTGGACCATCAATTGGCATAGTATGTAATACTTCGTCTAACAATTGAAGAGCTCTGTGCAAATGTACCTAAGAGGAATACAATAAATCTTGTGTCTTATTTATTAGTCATTAGAATAACACATGTAATATTTTTCATATGCTAATATTGTAAATACTTTTTATACCTCAATCCAACATGGAGTTTCCTTTATGCTTTGCCTTGGGTAATCAGGACCCCAACCTTTCACAAAACTTAAACGTAAGATGCAAAGTCGTCGAAGATCGTCCACTCCAATACCAGCAGCTGCACTTAAATCTATACAACATTGATTTATATTTATAAATTGTTGGATAATAATATTTAACTGTACATTTGCACTGACGACAGACACTAACTTTTAGTTATAGGTGCTCCATGCGTAAGATGACCAGCAACAGCAGCAGCTTGTGCGGCAGCAGCAGCTTGCGCTGTAGCTGCCTGTCCTCTCATCTGTTTATGGCATTGACGCAAATCAAACACCTTAATATATGCAGAAGGATATATTTTATGTACCGCATCTCCAGGTGCTCGACCAGCTTCTCTGTCTAAATAATAAGACTGTACAAAAACACTATGCTCACTTTGGCATCTTAACCACACATCCCCTTCGCCTCTTAAGTCTAACACTACTCCTTTTCCTGAAGTCAAATGAATACAATTCAATGAAATTATATATACATAAAAGTACATAGGGTAGCTGAGATTTTTCTAATATCTAATATTTAAATGTATACCTATATGTAGACGTGCCCTTTCACTTTGTTCTGTTCTGTGTACATTACTTAATGCCCCTAAACAGAATCTGTTACCTCCACTTGGATCTACATAACCATCGACTGTAACTGTTGGACAACCGCTGCTTACTTTAAAAGTTTCTCCTACTTGTGTATCTAGTTCAAAATAACCAACAGAACACCAATATTCAGGAGCTGGTTGCGTAGACAATAATCCACCAATATTTCCAGCAACGTCTCCACCATGACTAGCCCCTATTTAATTGGCAATATATTAAGAAAGACAAGTTATTAGACAAATTCTTTGACATAATACTAAATCTAAGCTTACAGTAAGATGTAGCGTGAAGATGTCTATGATCTGGAGGTTGCATACTTTGTGTGTAAGTAAGTGTATTAGCTCCTGTCCATTGTGGAGCTCCGGAATTATATGAATTCGTTGCTGTGCCAACGGTAAATCCATTTGAATGATGAAGATGTACAGGCGACACTGGAGAATTTTGACTTTCGCCTAAAATAATGTTATGTCTATTTATTACTATAACGAACTAAAGAAAAGAAAATATACCTAAGGAAGCTGCTAAGGCCTCAACGTTTGTTGACGGTTGATTAATATCTTGAGGAGGGGTGGTTCCATAAAATGTATCTGTTGATTGTCCCTGAGGTGGACTCAATATTTGGGTACTGTTGTTTCCACTGGCTGCATTTATTGACTGCTGCTGGCTACCTACGGTGTGACTCATTGGATGTACTACTGCTGTAAAATCAAATGTGACTCATACACAATACATAATACAAATGTACTAATATCATATTCGAAATTTCACACAGTTTTTACCCAGTCTTTCTGAAAATTATTCATTTCAGATAGAATCATTTCTGCTGCATTACTATAGAGATTATTCAATTAATTGTCTATAATACAAAGCGAAAGCTGAATAAAGAAAATAAAAAAGACAATAAAAGCAGAAAAAAAGCTTTTTATTATATACGTACGATGATGTATGTTATGTGTCGAAGAGTGATGAGGTGTAGGAATCCAAGTTTGCCTAGGACAATTATTGTCGTCCAATTTAGTGTGGGGGTTACCACTATTCCCTCCCCCACTATTGCCAAATATACCCTCACCATTAGCTGTGCAACAACAACAAAAGAAAAAGAAAATAATCAAGCAAAAATGAAATGTAAAACTGCAAAATAACATAATATACCTTAAAGCAATAATTGTATACTTGAAATAAAGTAATAGAATAATAGCATATTTATTATCGCAATAGCGCATAACTTGCAGTCAAAATTTTGTGCTATGGAAAATATATATATAGTCATGTTATTATATTTATTGAAACATATTCCATATTTGGAACATTTGTAATATTTGGTACAAAAAACATTTCTTTTTCTATTTTATTGCATTTCAACATATCTTTTTATGAATTCTTGTATACATACCATTTACATAAGCCAGTACTATTCAAACCTATGATATTTGTATATAAAAAATATAAATTGATACACGAGTAGTATATAAATCTTAATTTAGTTAAATAGCACTGGCATAAATGTACGATAAAATCAAGTTGAATTAGGTGAACAAATGTTTAACTTACTTGGATTAGGTGGTGCTAAACCTGGTATGAAACCTTGTTGAGGTTGTGGTGTGTTATTTGCTGTAGGTGGTTGTGCAGGCGGATGGTGTTGAATAGTTTGATTCATTTCACCATCAACATCCATAGCCGCTCCTATTGTCCCGGCAGCAGCTGATCCACCACCCCCAACGGTATATTCATCTTTGACCAATCTGTTGCCCGGTCCAACACCTACTCCTGGTTGCAGCGACAATCCAGACAGGTCTGCAAAGAATGGGTCTGTGCGGGGGAAACCAACCCCTTCCATCATACACCAAGGCCACAATAATAAATCATTTACTCTTATGGTGCTACTACTATTGAGCTCACAAAAGCTTATCAAGCAAGTAACGCCAAAAATATAATAAACAGATATATAATAACAATGTGTAAATGCAAAATTGAAATATTTCAATATAGATGAGCACGTAAAATAAAGACAACTTACCTATGCCAGGTGAAACAACTCTTTCATAGTGATAAGGATTCACGCATACTGAATCACACTTTAAGTCAAAAGCAAATTGACAATATTTCACATGTTTTAATTCATTTTTATGTAAATCTGGCCATCTCCAGATCCGTGCATAAATGACATGTGGGAAACCCTTACGTCCAGCAACTTGCAACCTGCCATCAAGCGTTCTTTGTATAGTAACACATTTGCTGGGATGTGCTCCATTCGTAGTGATTGCTGTTATTAGGCTATCTAGCTCATCTCTCTTTTCCTAACGCATAAATAGAACACAAATGAAAATAGATTTAGTATTATTAGAAAAACTAAATATTATAGATCAAGCGAATATACAACACAATTACTTTAAGCTTTTTCACCAATGATTCAATAGCACGTTTACTGAATCCTTCGCTTTCACCACCTTGACGATGACACATTAAAGAATGCACAATACTTAAACAAGCATCCGCACTTGTCGGAGCACTAGGTGCAATTCCGGACATTTCTCTAACTACAAAACAAAAATATACAAATTTATAAGGGTTAAAAGAAATACAAAAAGGGAATAAAAAAAAAATGATAATACTCACGTTCTGGATTAGGTTGCATTGGGGGCGAGGGATAAAGGTGACCTCCCCCGCCCGCCAATCCAACCATCTCTGTAAAAGCCGTGGTGGATAAAGTACCACCGCTTAAATGCAACACTTGAATTTCCTTCTAATAAATGCAAAGCAATATTATTTGGTAATTTTACCATCTAGCAACAAAATACTCAATCTTCAATCACTTATGTATACAGAATATACAATCTATCTGAAAAAAAAAAGAAACATATTAAACAATGAAGTAAAAATTATGTCATCGATATCGACATACATGAGCATGAATAAACGATAATCACACCTTTTGCAAACAAAAGTCGACTGAATGAAATAGTTTAGCAAAAATGATTCTTGTAATATCACAAAAGTATATCCTTCATATATTAACCATCATATATAACAACCACACGAAAGAACTTGATAAATATTGTATTATTAATAAACCTTAATATTATTGTAGCATCAGTTTAGTGACTTTTTAAAGTCCGTATATTTATAAAATAAAAAAGGTAGATAAACATTTTTTTTTTCAATTTAAGTTTAACGTTACACTATATCGTAGGTTAGCATGTTACTTTAATGTATGCACTTTATAAACTGCCAGTTTAAAGTTTAGAAAGGTCCTATCTAAATAAGTTACAATTGAAATATATATATATGTATATATATATATATATACACCTATCTTGCAACAATAGTCCTAGCTTTATATAAGTTTTAAATATACGAATAAATAACGATTGTCGTCAATACGAATTAGTCCGATACTTCGACAAGACTCAACTAGGTACAAATCAGGTTGTTCAACCTTTATTGGACTTTAAACGCTAATCTCTCTATGTGCTTTTTAGAGATTTGTTATCGTAGCATATGATACAAGTGAAAATATAACCCTTATTTTGATACGTCAATTAAATGCGCGCCAAATTTAAAATCTGACATTTTAAGAAGACTTTACTAGGTACAAATCAGGTTGTGCTTTATGAGATTTTAAACATAAATTTCTCTATATACTTTTTGGAGATTTTTTACTATAATATGACAGATATGAAAATATAATTATATATACGTACAGATGCATTTTCTTTGATTGTTTAATTAAATTAATAATATTTTTATTAATATATATATATATATATATATATGAAGTATCTTTATTGTAAAAACATGGTATATAAATATGTGTTTATGATCTTTTATGCCTGATACATTACTACTTCAATTTTATAATTCATTTGGTTGAAATTTGTTATTTCAATTTAATTATTTTTTAATGTAAACTAAAATCACATAATAATAATTATAGATAAATATTTCTGATTCTATATATATATACACACATCACTTATAAACATTTAAATGAGCAAAAAATTAATCTAATCATTTAGAATAATTAAACAACAAATGTTTTTTAAACTTTTCATAAGAAATTTTCATAATGGAACATATTTAAACAAATGTTCTGAAAAAAATATAATATTATGTATTATACGATACAATATTTTACAATGATATATTATCACTATTATTAAAAATGACGAGTATCAAAGAAATGATAATTTACAAATGTTATTAGACTAATTTTTTAGCTTCAAAAAAATACTTAAGATGTCTCATTTGCCAAGCACCCATAATTAATAAAATAATTGTTTGAGCGAGAGACCACCAAAACACACGTCGATGAGTACTTTCTGATGTTTGTCGGAAACGTTCTTCACGATACTGAAATGAATAATTAGAAAGAACAATTAAAAATAAATACTACTAAAACTATTAATTACATTTTGTTTCATAAGCTTCTTACTCGTTGATAGTTTTGTTCTTTGGTTATCTGTTCGACCTGATCTACAAGTTGACGTATTCTTAATTGTAATTCGGTTAACTTTTCTTTCTGTGCTACATTAGCATAATCAATCGCTTGTTCTCCTACTTGTATATCTAAATGTACTCTCTGTAAAATCATATTGTTAATTATACCACATCAAAATGATATAAACCTTGATAAATGAAATAAAGTAATATAATTTACCAGCTGTGTCCCACTGAACCATGCAGTACTGTTGGAATATAAACAAATAATATGTTCTCCAGGTGTATGCGATGTGAATGCGATTCTTCCTTCAGAACTATAAACTCTAGAAAGTATTGTTTTGTCATCAGGGTCTTTAATTTCAACATGCATACCAATTCCAGTACTACTTTTCATAAATCCATCACTTCTTGGATCATACAATTCCACCTTATAATGAACTATATTAAATAAATGAAATTATCCGTTATTTAAGAATATAAATAAACATATGAACAATAATATTTGTACCTAATACTTTAGTTTCATCAGGAATTTCTTCAATAAAACATTTTCGTTCGGTTTCACCGATATGGAAGTATAACCCATTTCCATTATTAACAAAAACACAGAATAGAAGAACAAGAATAGTTCCTTTTTTTAACATGATTTTAATCAATATTATAACAATTTATATTTTTATTATTTCAATTATTTTCAATTTTGTAATAAATCTTGTGTGACACAAGAAAACATGGACGTTCACTACTAACAATCAATAGCCAACATTTCAATTCATACGTGGCGTCATTAATTGCATGATACATAGATAGGATAGTCTAATATATTTCACTATATTATTGTTATACAATAAATATTAATTATTTCGTTCATTATTTTGCCTATAGATTGCAATAATAATTTAATTATATTTCTAATCAGTAAATAAATCATATAATTATTATTTACAGACAATAATAAAATAAATCTTACATAGGAAATTATCTAATTGCATAATTATCTTTTTTTATAATTGTATTTTTTTTAATGAAGTTAATTTTCTCTTTACGAGATTACATGTAATTATTTTGAAACTATTAATATTAAAGCACAAGAGAGAGCTTTTAAAAGACATAAAAAAATTAAATTTCGCGCTTTCTTTTTAATTCTGTCGTATTGCCAGGCATGCGAGAAATATTTTCAAGGGATTTTCATGATTTGTAGTCGAGAAACTACTGTATGTCTCTTTGCAGTAAACGTAAGCCAGTCTAATTCATTCTTGTAATAACATAAATTAATAAAAATGTCGGTGTGGAGACAAGCAGGATTAAAGTAAGATTTTAATTATATTTTTCTATCAAATTGTATACCATAATTGTTATAAAAATAACTTATAATATGTTAAAATTACATCATGTAAAAATTCTTCATATAATATTATATAATCTTTCATCTTAGAGATCATTACATTTATGATTTATTATTTTATCATTTTTTCTTTCAGCTATATAAATTATTCTCAAATTGCTGCCAGGCTTGTTAGACAAGCTTTAAAAAGTGATATAAGAGTAGAAGCTCAAAAGCGTGACGAGAGTAACGTTAAATTTACTCAATGGAAAGATGGAAAACCAGTCAGTACGTATATTTTTAAATCTAATCTAAAATATCTATCGATTTTCATTTATTTTTATTTATTTTTTTTTTTTTTGTATAAATATATAATCATCGATTTATGATTATTCTTATTTATCATTCGATACAAAAACTAATTTGTTACAGCTGAGAAATATTAAATTTGAAGATCTTGTAAGTCTATGGGGTTTTTTTTTTTCAGTTTGAGTTTGTTTGAATTAATTATTAACATTTTGAGTTTGTGTATGAATAATTTTGTTAAGACTTGTTCCACTCAAAGAAGGTTAAAGTGTTTGAAATTGGAAAATAACTAATATAATGAGAGTACAATTGTGTTTTAATCTTAACATTTTATATGATAGTATTTCTTTATTAATGTATATATATATATGAATGCGCTGTGTATAACAATACAATGCATTACACGTTTTAATGTAACTTTCTTTCTTTCTATTTTTTTTTTTCCTTTTGAAGTTTCTTTTCTAATAATCGATAACAAATAAAATTTTTGTTACAGAAAAACAGTAAATATCTGTATCACAGCTGGGTAGGAAAATTCATCCGATATATTTACATTTATAGAAATAACTTATGTATGATGATCCTAATTCACATATGAAATAAAATCATCTTCCACTTTGTCATGGCTATTTTTTAGCTTAACTATTGTTGTCGATGTTATTAGTTTTTTAAGCGTCATCTTACAACTGGACATTGTGCTTTACAGTATACTATAAAAAATAAAAAAAAAGATATGTTATATATATTATAATTAAATCGATTCTCTTCTTCTCTTTTTTTTTTTTTCATATTAAAAATATTATATTAAGTTTACCTATAAATTCAGAAACAACATCATTGTCGTTATCTCCACGCATAGTTCCTGTTATTTCTTCGTCTTCAACCATTGGCAAAAATAATTGTACAAATTCAGGCGTGTAAGGAGGCACAATTGTGTCTAATACCTAAAATAATAAAACATTAAAGATAGTTAGTTTTGAAGTTTGTTAATTATATGAGTGATAATAGAAAATAATAAATACTTCAGTAACAAAATATCGAATTAAGGAAACATCAGTATCACCACGTTGCCAACATTGTTTTATGTAGCATACTACTGGAATTACACAATCGCGACTCAGTAAATTAACCATCCTGTCAATCAACATTTTTTTTATCTCCAACTTAAACAAAAAAATTGTATTAGACATTGTGATTTATTTAGAAATATAATTATTTGAAAATATTTACCTGTACAAGTATTTCAAGCTCATCCTGTTTACTTTCAAATAATTGTACAAGAAGTTGCAATACTTTTGTATGCAATAAAGGATGACAAGCAACAACTTCGTCGAGCAAAGCAAGATGAACGGGACGACAGTGTTCAGTACATAATTTAAAATATGATGGTTCTGTAACTGTACATTCGACCCATCTGATCACTCCAACACTTACAACAGGAAAACTGTAAAAGATTGTCAATATAATTAATATTTGTTGATATTTTTCTTTGATAATACATTGTAAAATTAGTTATTTCAAATATACCGTAAACATTGATAAATAGTTTGTAGTTCTACAACAAGTTCAGTTGAACCTTTATTAATGTTGCAAATATTATGAACTTTTTCAATTGCTTGAATAGTCATCTTCAGTTCTTCTTTGTTAACTTTACGGGCATTACCCTTTTTCGCAGGAACTTCGCATACACTTGCAGCATATGCTAATAAGAATATATATTTTGATTTATGTTCAGGATTTACTTTAACTCCAGGTTTAAATAACGCATCCACTAATAGTTCTATAAAAAGATAAGAACAAATTAAAATATCTTATATTATAAGTAAGAATTATATATACAAAAAAAAAAAAAAATATGTGTAATATATGAAATTACCTAAAAATTGAGGATTACGAAGTAATTCAATTGATGGAGGCTCTGCCGCTGAATAATTACGGTATAATACAGAGATATCTGCAGGATTCAAATTATTTCGTGATAACATGGATGCTAATGCTTCACACGCTGCAGGGCTACTTGCTGCTCCGTTGAGAGCCATTGTAATTGGAGTAACATCGTGTCGACTAGAAATATGTAAATTAATTATTATACTTACATTCCAAGAAATCAAGTTGAAATTTAATAAACATTGTAATATTCTTCTTACTTCTGTTGAGCGCATTTGGTAATTTCCTGAGAAAGTCTTTTCATCATAAATCCACCTTTGGGTTCTTGTGCAAGTATTTGTAATAATACTTGACTGTAAACATAAGTGTGTTGACCATGACAGACCATTTTCTAGAAAAATACAAAATGTATCATACTTTGCCATTAATCAATTTTCAATTTAATGATTCAAATATGATGCTTTTATTACTAACAGCACATTCTTGAATACTGGATTGCCAATTTTCCGTGTTTTGTAAGAATCCAGCAATAGCTGTTTTTAAAACCCGAGAGAATACTTCTATTTGCTGTGCAGCTGTAGAAATACTTGTAATTTCTCCTTGAAAACCAGCATCAGATATGAGCTATATAAAAAAAAATAGTAATTATTCATAATACATGCATATAATATGTAAATAATGCAATTACAAATTGATATGCATTTATCTATACTTTGATAGTAAAATTTAGCATGAGACAATCAGGATATTCTTCAGCAAGTCTATAAATAAGCGATCTCCAAGTAGGATGTTGTATCATTTCTGTTAACCAGGCTGGTGTCTGTTAAAATAAAAAAAAATGATAATTAATATTTTCTACTTTTGCAGTTTTCTATTTTATACATAAAATAAAATCGACATACTTCTCCTTCCTCAGTAAAAATTTTATCAGCTTTTTTTGGATCAAACGTTTTCAAAATCATATCTTTCAAATTATTTTCCACCATCGCTTGTACATCGGTAACTTTGACTCCTGCCAGAATGAGCCACTCGGCAAGGAGATTGGCCATTTGTGCACAAGCAGTATAATTTCTGGATAATAATCCTATAACTTGTTCTGGATTTCCACCCGCTTGAAAATATCTATAAAATGATAACATAAAATGTAATATGTTAACTTATATTCATTCTAAATTAAATAATTATTATTATTGTCGATCATTACACACACACACACACAAGTACCTTTTTAATTGCGTAAAAATTCCAGGTTCCATTATATAATCAGCTGTTTTAAATTTATCTAAACATTCAGCTAAAACTTCTTGAGGATTATCAAATGTATCTTCGCTTCCATATTCATCAGTATTTCGACCCATTTCATCACCCCAACCGCTACGATCTTCATCATAATCTGACTCCATCTAAATATAATATATATGAACATTTTACTATTTATAGAAATGAATATAATGATAAATATGATAAATATGATAAATATTCTTCATAAATTTTACTCTACTAACATTAAATATACGTCAATTAAATCTACTAACAATATTATTATAATTAAATATAAATATAAAATACAAAAATATTTACTTTTAGGTTAGGAAGGATGAAAAATTGATTGGAAAATAAAAAGACAATATTAGTTGTAATTTAATAAAAACCCTTAGAAATATTTAATAGCTTCATCTAATTATATTATATTATAAATATCATCAATTTTATTTTACTTACTTTTATTTTATTGTATTTTATTTATTTAGAAAACTCCAGAAACATGTAAACAAAACGCATCCGACTGCTCTTAAGAACGTGGCATAACTTATTGCATGGATTTAACAGTGCTGCCAGATCGTGGGTAAATCTTACCCTCTCCCTATGCCACTGGGATTGCACACAATGAAAGTTATCCATGTCCGTGTGTTTGGGATGTCGAAAGAAGTCGAGTGTAACCGAAGTTGGCGATTGGCCACGAAGTGCACACTATGAAAGCGACTCGTGTCCATGTGTTCGGACGACACGAGTCGCTTTCATAGTGTGCACTTCGTGGCCAATCGCCAACTTCGGTTACACTCGACTTCTTTCGACATCCCAAACACACGGACATGGATAACTTTCATTGTGTGCAATCCCAGTGGCATAGGGAGAGGGTAAGATTTACCCACGATCTGGCAACACAGCGTGGCACAATCGTATGTACTACTAGAACAAAATATATACAATGCATGTAAATATAAATTTGATTGGTTTATTGATCTGACCAATAGAAAGCTTGAAAAAACTTGTCCAATTGAAAAGTGACATTATTTATATTTAAAATAAAACTTTTATCTAATTGAAAATTAATATTATATAGATAATTCATTTTATTTTATATGCTATGAATTCTTTATCGTAAAAATACATCGCGATGACAATATATCAGAAATCATCTATCAGCTATAAAAATCGCTTCATGATCGACATGTTGGTCACCTGTTTTAAATAAGCAATAAACCGTTGTTAATTTAAATAGTTGATTTTATATGTAACACAATATAAATTTTAATAAAATAATATTTTTAATTTTAACAAAATGATTACTCGTCAAAAGTTGCAAAACTCTCCACAACTGGTAATATTTTATAAGATCTTTACTTGATAGATAATAGCTTTGAAATATATCTTTTAAATAGATAAATTACAACCAGTTACAATATATATTTTATCTTTTTTTTTTTTTTGTAGTACAAGGTAGTAAATAAAAATAAGAATTTAAAAACATCTACAAGATTTTATATATAATATACTTGTATAATATATTGTTTTAATTTTGTTTCAATTTGAACAGGTGGATATTAATAAACAAACGTATGAAGAACAGAAATTAGATATTTCAGCATTACCATCAATAGTATTTAAAGGAAAAATAGACTTTTCTAATGACTTTTACGATTGTGCCAAAATTTGTGACAACATTATGTAAGCTTTTCAATTTTATATTCTCCTTATAATTATTTATTATCTTTATGTTACATGTTAAAAAAAAAAAAAAACCTTTATTTTTCTTTAGAGAAGAGATTGAAAAACTTGAAGACAACATTGTACCGATAGGCTTTGACTTAGAATGGCCATTTGATTATAAAACAGGAGCCAAAAAGACAGCATTAGCACAAATTTGTTTAAACGAATCTGTTTGCCATTTGTTACATTTATATAATTTATCAAAGTTACCAGCAGCTTTCGTGCAACTTTTAAGTCATCCAAAAGTAAGGCTTGTTGGTGTTAAAGTTAAAAAGTAAGTTAAAGTTAATATATTCATTATGTTGTAATTTATAATTTAATATAAATATGTTGTAGTGATGTGCGGAAACTTGGAAGAGATTTTTCTGAATTTCCAGCTGAAAAAGTAGTAATAGAAAATTGCATTGAATGTGGTCCACTTGCAAATAAGATTTTAAATCGTTCCTGTCATTGGAGTTTAAAAAACTTGACTGCTTATATGGTTGGTTTTCCAAGAAACTGTATATTTATTATTTTCATTATTATTTATGTATGATTAATTTGTTTTTGTTTTAGTTAAAGAAGAAAATTGATAAGAATCCTGAAGTAAGAAACAGCAAATGGCATATTCAACCTTTAAGTAAAGCACAAAAAATATATGCAGCTACAGATGCGTATGTATGTACAGTACTATCATTTTGAGAAAAAAAAAAAATTTATAATTTATGTAACTTTTAAAGATATACTCTTTACTATTATTTACAGGTATCATTACTTAATTATTTAGCAATTAAAGAAAGGTCTTCTGAAAAAGAGGAGGAGTCTTCTGAAAAAAAGGAGACTTGTAAAAAAGAAGAAGATTAGTTGCATATTCATTAATGAAGAAAATGAGAATATCTGTTATAATATAAAATAATATTTTTGTACTTTGTTACATTATTTTAAAATATGAATTAAGTTTATTTGAGAAGAATCTCATAATGCGAACTAACGTTGTTAAAGTATTATGGACAGGAAGATTAAAATATGGTCCTAGTGTAAGACTTCAAAAAATACTTTTCAATTTACATAATAAGCAACTAAACAACGAGACTTGTAATACATTATTATTAGTTGAGCATGATCCTGTATACACTATAGGAATTAGAAATAAAAACTATACAGAGAAAGATGAAAAGAAATTAAGAAATCTTGGAGCAGAATTTTATAAAACTGATAGAGGTGGTCTTATAACATTTCATGGACCAGGACAATTAGTAGCTTATCCTATTTTAAATTTGAAACAATTTAATCCTAGTATTAAATGGTACGTTTGTCAGATTGAACAAATGATCATACGTCTTTGCGCTGAATTTAATATATTAGGAACAACCTCACCGGATACTGGAGTTTGGGTTAAAGATAAAAAAATTTGCGCTATTGGCATTCACGGCAGTCGTTACATTACTACACATGGTTTAGCTTTGAATTGTAATACCGATTTAACATGGTTCGATCATATTGTACCGTGTGGCATTGAAGGCAAAGGAGTTACTAGCATTAGTAAAGAACTTGACATGAATGTAACGATCGAAGACGTAATTCCCAAATTTCAAAATGTATTTCAAGAAGTATTCCAATCATCATTGATTCCATATCCACAAAATGAAGCGTCCGAATTGCTTCGAAACGTAAAGAATTGTATTTAGATTTTGTTCATTCATTTTTATCTTAAAAACACATTGTATTTACAATATTTAATAATAAATTACAATTTGTTATGAAATTTACAACAAATTTCTATTTTAAAAGTCCAAATATATTTTTTTATATTATTTATGAGATATGTCATTAAATCAAATTTAATTGATCACTTTAAATATCCATCGATTTATTATTAAACTTATAATTATCTGATAGAAATTAATGTTGAAATAACAAATATTTCCGAATTTTACATTATAATGTATGCTAAATCGTTCAAGTTAACACATTAAAGAATCTTAAATAACAGATGCAGCCCTACGTAACAAGAAGAATATTCTTGACACAATTTGTTAATTAATTTTTAAATATAAGAGAAATATTTGAATTAAATTAATCGATAATAGAGTAACACAAGATATGTTCAATTGATAAAATATTTGACTAGAGATTATTCAAGCCTCATTATGTCATGTAAATGTGCAAAATATCGATGTAGTTAGAAATAACATTGATAATTTGAAGCAAAGATTTTCCGTAAATTTTGTGCAAGAACATATTATTATTATTATTATTATTATTCTGTTAAAACGTGAAGATACCTTTGATGATATAATTCTCCAGTCAATGCACCTACTATAACTACAGCATTGTGCAATGAATTAGCAGAATCTCTAATCAGTCTAATCGACCGTTCTATGTCACTTTTAAGTTCTAAATACTGCTTGTTAATTAAAAGACCTTCTAAACTTTGCATAGCTTTGATGGCTTCTACACTAGGTCGAATTTCTGCAGTATCTAGGTCAGGTGATCTTGAGGGCGCAACACCAGGGGAATGAGACGTAAATCTTACTATTTGATGTTCACATTTCGATTCTGGAAGCTGTGCTAAACAATATACGCCAATAGCACGACTTAAAAATTTACATCTGTTTAACATAAAATATTAATTAATATTTCTTATAATAATATACCTCTGTACATATTAAAATTTATTTAATAAAATATATTATTAAACCTAATAGAAAGGTACCTAATAGAAAGCTGAGAACCTTTCCTGAGCCCAATAGCCCCCAAAATACCCCATCCTTGTCCAGCATCATCAGCCATCGTAAGCAATGCACGTGCTAGTCCTTTTAAAGCTCTAGCAGCGATTACAGTATTTTCACTGTATTGACATTGCCTGTAAGCTAATTCGCATGCTTTTCCCCATAATAATGGTAATTTTTCTTCCGTTATATCTCTAAATAATAATTTATATTTGAATTACATTATAGTTTTTCTTTTTTTTTATATTTATATATTATTTATATTTTTAGCTTACGTAGTCTTGATAGCGGTAATCCAGTCAATTAAATTGATAAGAAGCATGCCTTCTTCTCTGATATCTCTACATGAAGGAAGTCTTTTCAACAATACAGAATAAAGAGCTAAAAGTCTTCCTTCTGAAACTAATACTGATTCCAGAGGAGGTTGTCTTGGTACAACGGGTTGTAAAATTGTTAAAACTGCAGCCCATGTTGGTCTACCATCTTCGGAAATTACTGAATAATATAACATGAGTTTTATATTCATGAGATATATATTCTAGAGAAAATGAATTATTTATTATTTATTTACCAGTGTATTTAAAATAAGCTTCTAAAGCAGCTTCCATGAGTTCTCCTAATGTAGATGAAGAAGCAATCGCAATACCTATAACTTTAAGTACACCCATTAGTACTGGACTACTTGCAGATCTTTGCAACAACCAAGTTGTCCAACTAGTTCGAAGATAATCATTTAATGGTCCACTTTGGTTTATAGAATGAAGAAATTCGGTTACTAATAAACCTGCTTCTGGAATTTGTTGGGTTTCTGAAACAGCTAATAAATAAACATTTATGTTAACATAGTAACTTTTAGAATAAAGTATAAATATATATATATATATAAAAAAATAAAATTATATTATTTCAACTTACTATCAATAACAGCTTCCATTTCATCCAACATACGAGATAACGTAGTTGTAAAAGCTTTAGAATTTGTGGATAATAATGATTTATATCTAGTTGTGCAATTTATTAATAATTTTACCGAAGAGCGTACATATATCTGTCTCTTTTTTAATGTAGTTGGATGATAGTATGCTACACTGGGATCATAAGCTGCGACTATCTTTAATAAACTGTTATATCATTTGATTAGTTTTTTAATTCAAATATAATATATATTTGAATTAAACAAATGTAATACTTACTTATTCAAAGCTATATCTATAGGATGAACTTGTTCACAGTCTAGAGAAAGAATAACTCTAGGATCACAACTCATTACGTGCCAGTTAATTACTTGATCATAGGCAGCTGCATCAACCAAATGCCATGAAAATGTTACTGCTTGTGTAATTAATTGTACTGCTTTATCATTCTACAAACAATATGAAATTATTTTTGTATAAACTATGTGTTAACATTTATGGAACTTATTATAATACAAAAATATTATTCAATTACCTGTCTTACATTTGGTTCATTTGATAATTTAACAATTAAGTTTAATAAACATATATGCATTCTAGTAACAACTGCCAAAGGAAAAGTATTTAACGATTCATTTATCCACGACAACCAATTGATACAAGTAAATACACTTCCAAGAAATAGGTGACTATCTGGTAGATACTGATCGACTACTTTAATCATAAGCTCGACATCACCAATACTAGGACAAAACCGATCCCATGGGAGCGATAAGAAATTACCATGTATTACATTTAATATGTGATCTTTGATTGAAGGATGAGCAAAATTAGTAACATAGAAATGCCAGACGAAAGATAATATTTTGTTAGATGCTGGCATTGTATCAATAATAAATCTAACACATTCCACAAACATTGATACTATTCTATTAGCATATGGTCCATCCGTTATAATCCATGGCAGTAAAACAGATCTATCATCTGTAAGTTGTTGGATCCATGCTGCTGTTGGTTCTCTTAAATTTCTAGTCCAATAAGGTGTAATCCAAGGTGCATACATTTCACTTAAAACAGGCCATATTTTTTCGCATACTAAAAAAGGAGAATAATTTGTTCAATTTATATTGGAAAATAAACGAAATTTTAATGTAAATTTAAATTTTACATTGATCTGCCAAGGAGCCTCTATCAGATTGAAGTGTTAGGACAACAAGAGCGTGTCCTACCATTCCCAAAAATACTGTCAATGGATCATTATAGACTCTATATTTTGGATACAATCCATAAAGACCATATTGCAAACGTTCTTTCATAAAATGTCTACTAAGTAAAACTGCAGTATCGTGCATCTAAAATAATACAAATTAATTATAATATATTGTTGTTTTTTGAAATAATTTCTATATGAATATTTAAACAAATAAACATTTACCTCTTGTCGAGAAAGAAGTCTTTGTTCTGTGGCATAATGACGTATTTCGTCACGAATTTTTGACAAATGTATTACAGTAGAACTTTTTGATTTTCCACTTAGAGTACCTAATAAATCACGCCATACGTCTAAGGACAAAGTTTGGCTTTCACTGCCTTTTAATATGGTACTAAGAACTTCACCATAATGTTCAGGAAATTCATGTAGAAGAATGAGTCGTAGATGATTGCGAAATAACTAATGTAATAAATAATTATACTTCTTATAAGTTAATTTGTAAATATTTTCTTTTATATTTAGTCAAAATTACCTCATGTAATATAAGTTTATCTTCTTCCGGATTAAGTCCAATATTAGATAGAGCTCTAGAAATTAAATCTATGAATGTTGATCGTTCACTTAATCTTGGTCTTCTGTAGCTTAGCCAACTTGCAACGTCAAACTATAGTAAAAATAGAAATTCATGAATGAAATGAAATATGTAAATAAATATAGTCGTATTTTTGATTGATCTTATATACCTTAGAAAGTAATACGAAACATAAGTCTACATTCATCCCAGTAGACAATTCAACAACTGTTTGATACATTTGTAAGAATGTTGATGCACCACCAGCAACTGGAGTAAAGTGAGGACCAAGCAATCCACCAAGATTTGGTCTTTGCATAATTGTTTTTAACAATTCTGGTCCTTGACTTTCTTCTCCGCTAATAAATAACTCAAAAAATATTTATTATTAAATTAAAAATGAAATCTTTTATTTTATTTTATATTTTGTATGATTTATATACTTGGCCAAGCTTTTCTAAACAGGTTGTA